GGAGAGCGTGCCGGAGATCAACAGGGCGCTTACTGTCTGTACACCACACACGCCTGTGTCCTGGAGAGCACTGCCGGACGGAGCATCGACCTGCAAGAGAAGGGAAACACGAGAAACTTGCTGGAGATGCAGTGTGGCTCCAAGACGACAGCGAGAGGAAGCCTTTCAACATCCCCCACTGTAACGATCTGAGACTGGGACACTGAATTACTGCAACAGCATTCAGAAGCTACATCCCCCTGCAGCTCCCAGCTGGCAGCCCCACTGGAGCCCAGCAGTGTGAGTCTGGTCAGCACCTGGATGAGAGACTCCTGGGAAAGCTGAGGCTGCTACTGGGAGAGGTGTTAGTGGGGCCAGTAGGGCACACTCACCCTGCGGACTGTGGGGGTCCTAATGCCCCAGTATAGTGACGGGGACACTAGACTGTAAAATAGGCACCGTCCTTTGGATGACACATAAAACCAAGACACCAGGGTAACACCCCGACTCTTTTCGAGAGACGCCCTGCAATTTTTAATGACCACAGATAGTCAGGACCTCAGTTTTACATCTCATCCAAAGCACAGCGCTTTTATTTACAGTAGAGTGTCCCCGTCACTATACTGGGGCATCAGGACCCACACAGACCGCAGGGTGAGCGCCCCCTGCTGGTCCCACTAACACCTCTTCCAGCAGCAGCCTCAGCTCTCCCAGGAGTCTCCCCTCCAGGTACTGGCCAGGCTCTCACTGCGGAGCTCCAGTGGGGCTGCCAGTGCTGAGCTGGAAGGGGATGTAGCTGCTAAATCCTTGAGAGAGACCTTCAAGCAGGGAGCTGCGTCAGCAGGCGTAGGCTGCAAAGGAACAAGTGAAGGTTTATTCCGCGCTGAAAAGAAAAGCAAATCAGGCACCTGAAGAAGGCTCCACAGCTGAAACATCGTGTCTCTTTTCTTTTCAGCGTGGAATAAACCTTCACTTGTTCCTTGAGAGAAGTCGCCTCTCCTTGACATTAACATACAACGGAGGCTTGCTTGCTGTGGCTACAGTTGCACGCCTGGAACAGAGTTGGGATCACACGGGAGAACTATGGGGAAGGGGTTTAACTGGGACCGGCAGAGGACAGCCCATCCCCCCCTCAACAGGACACGCTAGTTTTGGGGGTACCGGTGTTCTCCGCAGTTAAGGAGAATCTTACACAGGCGCAGGGAACCGATCTGGGGGGTTCATTTCATTGCTCTGCAGGGCCACTGGGCCAGTCGAAGTGAAGTCCCTCAGTTCAAGGGGACATCAGGGGCGTCTCGCCCGGGGGTTGAACCCGTGCCCCTCCGGTCCAGGGCCGTAATCGCTCCTCCGCGCTGGTGTCCGGAGAGCGACTCAAGACTCATAACCGGTCAAAGTTCACCAGAAACTACGACTCCTGCCATCTGTGCATCACCTAAGGGCGGTTCATCTCCATCACCTAAGGAGGTTCATCTCCGCTGCTTTCGCCACGTTTCTAAGGAACTAGCAATCAGAGCGGCTCTTTGTGTTTCACAACTTCACCAAAGATATATATTTTAAAAAATGTCATAGAGTGTAAACACATTCATTCTTTCTACAAGACGACTGGTTCATGAGTAACTAAATCAAACAGTTGTGCTTACTAACTAAAAAGCGACACGATCACCGGTGTTGCGAACGGCAAAGCAAAGCCCCTGGGAGAGGTTTCAGAGCAGAGGGAGGCCGAAACGCTCGCCGGCTTTTGCGCAGCTCGCCCAGCAAACACACACACGCAGATTAAAAACCGCCGAGAAACAAACCGGGTTATGCCACTGACCTTAACAGCAGCGCCATCTTGGCGAGTCTGGAAAACAGGACGTTGCGTCACATTCTCTTCCTGTTGAAGTCCCGTCAACCCGAGCTACTGCCGGGAACGTTTCTCAAAAATGTCAATTGATTTGTAACCCTTATGTGCGAGTTTCTCATAAAATATAAGCTAATTTTAAAATAAAATACGAATGATTTTTTTTCTAAATTACTGTAGCGCAACGGACGCCATCTTTGTCAGGGATGTTTTTCTCCACCCCCACCTCCGCTGTACTGTACTGTACGGCACGGCACTTCGTATCTCGCCGCTCCGTTTCTGCCAGGCAACAAAAGGCACTAGTTCTCTGCGGGGCCGGGCCCTCTTGACAATCCCCCATTGAGCGCGGCACTCGCACTCTGAAACGCGCTGTTTTGCGGAATGTGTCGGGGGCCCTGTGTTATCTGATCGCCGCCGAACAATGGCGCTCCACATGTGTCTCGCATAGCGCCGCCGACCCACACGGCCAGCTGCCCAGCTGACCGGGGGGCCTGTGTCCCACCCCCCCGTGGTATTTCGCCACTCGTGTTTACCAGCTCTTGGCCAGCGCGCCGGGGCGGACAGGACAGTACAGTCCAGTCCAGGGCACGGTGTGTGTGAGAGGGGTCCGACAGAGGAGAGATTCGGCGCACGAACAAACGGCGCCTCTGTTGGGCTGAGCGCATCCAATGCACTGAGTGTCTTGTATCGGGGAAGGGGGTTACCCAGAAAGATGTGACTGAGAGACCCTACATTTTGGCCTGTTATCCCCGGACTGCGCAGTGGACTCGCAACCCACCACAGATCAGCAGGCACTTTCTCTAAATCTGGAAACGCACTGCTCTGTCTGAGCCATTTGGCTCCGACATGCTGGAAAGCTGAAAACAATTCCTGTTGGGGAAAAAAAGGTCAATGAGGGGTAAAGATCTGTACACCACAGTTCATCCCTAATAATAATAATAATAATAATAATAATAATAATAAAGCAAAGTATAAAAAATGTGTTTTAACATCAAGAACAGGGGAACTTCTTTACACAACAGGTTGCAGGGGTATGGAACAGGCAATCTGGTCATGGTGTTGTAGCCGGTACTCAGACTTATTTCGGACTCTTTGTTTTCGGCTCTGTAAGTGTCCTCTTATGAAAGGGGTGCTGTCCAACCAGTGCGCCTGCTTCTTAAGTTAATTCCACCCATCCATTTTCTGACCACTTTATCCAGTACAGGGTCAGGGCGGAACCTATCCCAGCAAGCAACGAGCACAAGGCGGGGTACACCCTGGAGGGGACGCAGACACACTGGGGCCCATTTTCCCAGAAGCCAGTTCTGGGAAACCTACCAGCAGCTTGTTCCACACTCCCACCACCCTCTGTGTAAAGATGTACACCTGTCCCGACTGGGGGCTCTCATCCAGCTGTGTCTTGAAATAATCCAGTTATTCGATTGATTTAAGGGTTCAGGCCTGTGAGTAGGAGCTCCTGTTGGGTGGGTAGGGGTCCCCAACATCAGGACAGGGAGCCATTGTGGGCAGTCGTCATCGGTTACAGACCTGCAGGCTTTGTCGTCATTTCTCGTGTTGTCCTGGCACCGCTCTCCTGCATGACCTGATCGTGTCTTTCTCCCCCATGTAGCACCTTACCGCTCTGGGCACAATCGGGTCTCTTTTCAGACCACTACCGCCGTTGGTCACCTTCTCCCTATTGTAGCTGTGGAATGTAATCCATAGCTTTTCAAGCAAGCACCGTCAATGAAAAACCATCGAGGAAACTTCGAAGTGATTTGTGACACTGTTGGGGTGGGACGCACACGGCCTTTCAAACTTTTAATTTCCTTTCGAGCTCAATTCGATTTTTTTTTGCACATTTGCGACGCCGCAGTTTTGCCTGTTAGTGACACCTGATGACCAAAAACCAGTGTAAACTAGTGGTCCCACCCAGAGGTCTGATATTCATACATCTTTACATCCCAAAGATTCTCCTGAACATGTGGCATTGGCTCTGAATGTAAAGACAGATAGACAGATACTGTAGATATACTGTACAGACACTGTAGATAGATACTGTAGATATACTGTACTGACACTGTAGATACATACTGTAGATATACACTGTAGATACACCAACACTGTAAATAGTTATACAGTTACTACAGAGAGACACTGTATATAGTTATCCAGTTACTGTAGTTGCTGTAGATATACAGATACTTAGGTAGATATAAGGACAGATACTGTGGATAGTTATCCAGTTACTGTAGATATACAGATACTTAGATATATAGACAGATACTATAGATAGTTATACAGTTACTGTAGATATACAGATACTATAGATAATCATACAGTTACTGTAGATATACAGATACTTCGATATATAGACAGATACTATAGATAGTTATACAGTTACTGTGGATATACATATAGATACTGTACAGTACATTGATATACTGTAGATATATAGATAGGCAGATAGATATACAGACCCTGTAGATAGTTACTGTGAATAGACAGATACTGTAGATTTATATACAGATACAACACTGTAGATAGATACTGTAGATATAGAGATACTGCAGGTAGACAGATACTGTAGATAGATATACAGAAACTATAGATATACAGACACTGTAGTTACTATAGATACTGTAGATTTATATACAGATACTACATATAGATACAGTACATTGACACTGTAGATAGTTAATGCACATACTGTAGATATAGAGACACTGTACTGTAAACAGATACTGTAAATACTGTATAGACATACAGATACTGTAGTTATTGGAAATAGACAGATACTGTAGATAAATACTGTAGATAGATATACAGACACTGTAGATACTGTAAATATATACTGTACAGTATATATACAGATACTACATATAGATACATAGACACTGTAGAAACACTGTAGTTCCTGTAGATAGATATACAGATACTGTAGTTACTGTAAATAGACAGATACTGGAGATATATACTGTATACAGATACTACATATAGATACATAGACACTGTAATTCCTGTAGATAGATATACAGATACTGTGGATAGAAGGAGATAGATCAATACTGTAGGTATACAGCTAAACTGATGTAGTTAGAAATTGGGATAGATGCGGTGGACAGATAAATGCAGATATACAGATACTGTACGGTATGCTTAAGTAAATATATGTACAGATGCTATACAAAGATATAGAGATACTGGAAACAGACATACGGAAAATAGCAACAGCAGACAGAAATACAACTATAGTGACGGAATGTTCTATATAAATACGAAGTATTGATTGTGTCTTGGGTTTGCAGAAGGCTGCAGTTTAGAATAATGTTAATATCTAAATATATACCCACCCAAAGGACCTATTGTTTTTCTTCAGCCTAAATCAGCTTACTGGAGCTAATTTAAAAAAAAAGATTGTGAATGCGGTTTTATGTGCGCCTGACAAAAGGAATCCGAACAATGTGCGGCCTGTGCGCGCCCTGTGTGCGCGGCTCTGTGGCCGCTTTGTGTCCGCGGCCGGCGGTGTTGGCCGGCGGAGGGAGGGACGTGAATCGGCCCTTTGTCCGCCGGCGGCCCCGGCGCTACGTGCCCGAGGGGCCGGTGGGCGCGATGCGCGATGTATGCGTCCCATCGAGGGCAGGCTTGGAAAACATTTACAGGGGAGGGGAGGAAGATATTTTCAGAAGTTGTTGGGATTTTTTTTTTTTGCAGTCGGGAGCAAAAAAAAAAATGTTTATATTTTCAGTTCTCGCTTCTGGTCGGTGGCGTCTTCCCGCGCTTCTGAACTGGGGACCGCGGCGTCGTGGACCGGCCGAAAGCGCGGGAAGACGCCACCGACCAGAAGCGAGAACTGAAAATATAAACATTTTTTTTACGGGAAAAAAACCGTATGAACCACAGAGAGCCTAGGAAACGTTTTCTTTTGTTTTTGTTCTGATCAATTGCACTTGATTGCGAGAAAAATAAAAATAAATCGTCAAAAATGCAGTCTTTTTTTTACCGACGGAGGGAGGGAAACATGAAACTTTGAAAAGCGTCGGTGTCGGTTTTCCATTCGTTTTTGTCATCATAAATAAATACGCATTTTTGGTTTTCTGCAAATAAATACAGATTCCTCGCACGGCCCACGGCTCCAGAGTCCCAGTCAGTTTATTTCGCTCTCGGATAGATGTCTCAGCTGTGTGGAGTTTCATCTACTCGTGTAATACGATGCTAAAAGACCCGCCGGGCCCGGAGTGATTGAGTCAGTTTGCCAGCAGCGGTCGGGCTGATTGGAGTGTCACTTTCGATTTCACTCTCCGTCGGTGGGGCGAGATTTCTGTTCCGCCGGGTCTTCGAGTTTCTCCCAGCGCTGATGCCAGGAGCCCATTAAGGCACAACAAGACGAGCAATCTAACAATTAAAAGGAGCAGCTTGGTTTTCATGTGACGGATCGGCGGAGAAAAAGCCCACCTGAAATTTGAGTTTACAGCTCATGTCAACGGCAGGAACCATTAAACAAGGATTAGGGTGGAATACCACGGCAAAAGATGACTAAAATGAAGGTTTGGTCACTGTGACCTATGTCACAGTTAAATCAGAGCGAATTCGCAGTACAGTGCTGTCAGGGACCGTGAAATCATGGTAAATACCCAGTGCAGGGCTGTCAAGCACAGTGAAAAAATGATAAATACCCAGTACAAAGTAGTCAAGCACAGTGAAAGCATGGTAAATACCCAGTACAGAGCTCTCAAACATAGGGAAATAATTATAAACACCCAGTACAGAACTCTCAAGCGCAGTCAAATCATGATATACACCCAGTATAGAGTTGTCAAGTGCAGTGAAATAAGAGATACCCAGTACAGTACAGAGTTGTAAAATCATGGGAGATACCCAGTATGGAGCTGTGAATCACCATGACATCATGGTAAATACTCAGTACAGATCTGTCGAGTGCAATCATGGTACAGTGCCTTGCGAAAGTATTCGGCCCCCTTGAACTTTTCAACCTTTTGCCACATTTCAGGCTTCAAACATAAAGATATAAATTTTTTATTTTATG